GGTATAGAATGTCTCATAGAAATGAATCTGCTGTCATACATCCGTTTGATTTATTCCTAACCGAAGAAGGTGGAGAATGAAAACAAAGTGATCATGTGTCCCGCTCACTTTGTTTACCTAAATGTCAACCAGGCAGGACAGCTGAGTTCATTTACCCCCAGATTAGTGAAAGCAAACCATTTCTACACAGGCACTGTCCGGGGAATGAGAGCCCAACATGACCGGGTGAGTGCTAGTTATTCATTTTTACAAAGCAATCCTTGTAACTGTTGCCATCACACCTAATTTTTCCCAGTGGTCTCTATGTTGTTGTTCTTTTTTCTCTACTCCATGTCTCGCTGAGTGTGGAAATGACAGGGTTATACGGCACCTTCACCTCTCCCAACTTCCCCCAGCCTTACCCTGACAACCAGCACGTAGTGTGGAACATCACTGTCCCAGATGGCCACAGGGTCAAACTCTACTTTACCCACTTCAGCATGGAACTCTCAGACCAGTGTGAATATGACTACATCCAGGTACATGTAGGAGGAAGTCAGCCTCCCATTATGTGCACTGACTTGGCATCAGTAGCTTGCTCACTAAAAGGCCTCTGACCTTGTCAAACCAGGTTTTGGCAGAGGGGAATGAAACCTTGCGGTTCTGCGGAGAGGAAGGGAAGAACCATGAAAGCACCCCGAGGAATACAATCATCCTGTCAGCCCGAAACCTCATGTCAGTGGTCTTTAGGAGTGACTACTCTAACGAGGGACGATTCACCGGCTTCCAAGCATTTTACACCTCAGAAGGTGATGCAAAATAGTGACATTTGTTGCCAGAAGGGAGACACATTTTTCTCAGTTGTAATTACACAGAACAAAGAGTAGTGAGGTTTCTACTGAAATGCAGTCTTCACAGGTATATGCAGCTCTTTTAATTAATTCACATTAATAAAGTCAGACAGCAAACTACAAATGCAATGTAATATTTAGAAAACAGCAGGAATAATGCCCCACATCAAGAAATTATTTTAGAAGGCTCTTAATTTTATATATAATGTAACTGTTATTTATTCATGGTGCTTTCATTACAGGCCCTCCTCTTTATCTTCTCTTGGGATTTAAATGACTCTGAAGTTAACAAAAAAATGTGTTTTCCCACAGTTAAACTGTTATTTTAATTGGCTGCAGTGGCACACCCAAGAGACTTTTGCAGAGCCTATGAAAAAAACTGTTTTTGTGATCATTGTTTAGTTTCAGCTAATTGGGAGTCAGATTTAGCACGAACCAGATTCATTTAATTTCTGTGTAAGTTTTAACAGTAAATCAGTGGTTTTCAAACTTTTACCCTTATGCCCCAGTCCGGAAGCCAAAAAGACCCCTCACTGATCACATCCCCACTTCTTCTTCTTCTTCTTCTTTTTTAAAAAAAAAATCAGACATCCACAATCAGAACCATCAGAAGAGCATCAGAGTGTGTTAACTTAGCTTCAGTCCAGTTTTCTCTTGGTTTCCACACTCCACTCCACCTGTTTTGGCTCTATACTCCACCAATGGGACTCCACAGTTGGAGAACCACTGAAGTAAATGCACCTGAGTTAGAAAAGTGTCTTTTATTTTGAAGGCCATGATGGCATTTGCACTTCAGCGCGATGTAAATCAAGGAAATAATCATCAGATTGCTTGGTAGGCTAAAGGTTTTAGCAGATTTCTACTCATTCTCAGGTGTGTTCATGGATGGGGGAGGGGATGCATATTTATTGATTTGCTCTGTCACAGACATCAATGAGTGCCTGTCCAAGGTAGAAGGGGAGCGAGTGTGTGATCATTTTTGCCACAATTACATTGGTGGCTATTACTGCACGTGCAGACAAGGATACCTTCTCCATGACAACAGAAGATCCTGCACAGGTAAGAACGATACAGAGCGAGGCTCAAGAGGCATGTTTATCTGAGCTCAATCACTGTGGGTCAAAAGCTATTTAGCAGGGTGCAGCGTTAAGAACTTGGTATACATTGTCTGACTATATTGATTTGTAATTAGGGTATTTCTGGAGCTAAACACGCTACTGCTCACATCCTCTCAAATCTGAAACAGCAAACACTATTTACAGTGAAGAAAAGCAGGTGTCTGACCTCTGCTTTGAGACAGCAACAACGCATTCAATTTCCCTGCATTCACTGACGATGTAAACACATGAAATGGCCTAATCTTTCAGTTGGCACAGCAGCACACCCCAGAGTGTCTTTGG